CCAGCCACTTTTTTTTTTTTAAGAATTATTTAATTTTATTTATTCATTTATTTATTTTAATTTGACCAAAGAGAGACAGCCAGAGACAGTAAGAAAGCAATCTACCAGGTCCAAGGCTTGAACTGTGGTCAGTCATGTGGGAGTGTCCAGTGCCTTAATTACCACAACACCTGTTGGTCTCAATCCAACCACTTTTGTTTATGGTCCACTTGCTATTGTAAGCAGCCAGGACTTGCTTGAGTGTGCAAGACCTTGTGCTCATTGCTGTTTAATGAGTTTGCTTGGGGGACATATGTCCCAGGGAAGGCTAAGTGACCCAAGGTTGATCACCACACATGAAAGTATGTATCCTGGCTGCAGCACAGCAACCCATCAAAACAGTACCAGTTTCAATAATGAACTAATAGAACTGCTGCTCAAATTGACCAACCAGAGCTATGTAAGTTTCAATCCTTCATTGGCATATATAAACCTGTGGAGGACTTGAATGGGGAATTATTTCTCTGTAAAAGCCTATCCTTGGACAGGCAGGTTGTATGGTGGTTAAGGTGCTGGACTCCCACATGTTCGACAAGTTTGCATCCCAGACCTAGCGGCTTGCTTTCTCACTATCCCTTTCTCTTTCTCTCTCTGTCTCTCTCTGGTGAAATTAAACAATAATAATAACAGCAAATAAAATTAAATAAATAATTCTTTTTTTTTTGGAGAGGTTTTCGCTATAGGGCATGTGTGCTCGCCAGACAGACAGAGAGAGACAGAGAGACAGAAAACGAGAAATCACCCCCCAGGGGGGATGGCCACGCCACAATCCCTACTCCTCCATTCTCCTCTCAGGATCCTGGGCACGCAAGCACACATGCCCGGCGTGAGTTTTAAGCCACCGGGTCCAGGACACGAACCGCAGTCGACATAGCCATTACTCTAACTGCTGGTCCCAAATAAATAATTCTTTAAAAAAAAAAAATGAAAGTCTATCCCCAAGAGACCATCTTTTGAGCAAACCTAGCTATCCACTGGATAGCTGTAGTAAAAATCTTCTTCAATAAACTTCAAAGGTCAGAGTTTGATTTCTCAGGTTGCCAATAATTGATTCCCAGTTGGTACCTACTTTGGTTCTGTAACACTATGATCCATCCCCATGCTGATACTAGAATATACACCTATGAATGAAATGGACATGGTTCCTAGCCTTGCGAAGATTAATATGTGTGGCAGGGACTGACAAAACAAGTAAACATTCAAGTAAGAAAAAGATGGGACCAAAAAAGATGGTGGTTGAGGCGCTGAACACTTCCACATGCTTGCTTTCTCACTTTCTCTCTTTCTCTCTCGCTGTCTCTCTCTGGTCAAAATAAAATAAATGAATGAAGAGGGACCAGCAGATGGTGTAATGGCTACATTGCTGAACTCCCATGTAGTCGACCATGGTTCAAGTCCCAGACCTGGTGGTTTAAACTCACACTGGGCACAGTGTGCATGCATACCCAAGATCCCAAGAGGACAAAGGAAGTGAAGGGATTCTGATGTGGTCATCCCCTCTTTGGGGTGATTTCTCACTATCTGTCTCTTTGTTTATCTCTGTCTTTCTGGCGAGCACATGAACCGTATAGCCAAAACCTCTCCCAAAATAAATAAATAAATAAATTCTAAAAATTAAATAATTCTGTTTTTTTGTTTTTGTTTTTGTTTTGTTTTTTTTTCCAGAGAGATGTTTGCTACAGGGCACATGTGCTTGCCAGAAAGATAGAGACAGAGACAGAAAATGAGAACTTACCCCCAAGGGGGAATGGCCATGCCACAATCCCTTCTCCATTCTCCTCTCAGGATCTTGGGCACACATGCACACATGCCTGGTGTGAGTTTAAGTCACTGGGTCTGGGACTCTAACTGCAGTCGACATGGGAGTCCAGTGACATAGCCATTACGCCAACTGCTGATCCCAAAATTAAACAATTATTTAAATAAAAAGAAAAGAAAAGAAAAGAAAAAGATAATGAGAACTGGTCCCATTGCTCATTGAGCTGGAGCTCACAAAGCCAACAGCAGTTCAAATCCCAGCCCTGGCAGCTTGAAAAAAACAACAGGCACATGTGTGTGCATGCCCAAAATCCTGATGAGGAAGAATAGGGGAAAAAGGATCCCAGTGTGACCAGTCCATTAGGAGTTGCTTTCTCTGTCTCTATCTGGCAAGTACCCACTCACAATAGAAGGAAAAAAGGAAAAGATAATGAGAAATCGTGACAGCTATTATGGAGACTAACAGAATAACTAGGTTTGCAGAGGATATGAGAAATCACTTGGATGGAGATTGAAGACGGCCTCTGGGAAAAGCTGGTGTTTAGGCAGGGATAAGAAGGACAGGAAGGACCAAGCCAGAAAGAGGGAGGAGCATGTGAATTTCCTGGGAACAGTAAACTCCAGGCAGAAGTAAGAAATGAGTTGTGTGTGTGAGGGGTAGTGAGGGGAGGCCAAGGCAGCTGCAGTGGCCTGAAGACTGAGTGGGCCGACATGAGGCTGGCAAAGACAGCTGGTGAGACGAGGCCCCTAATTTGTACCCAATTCAAACTGGAAAGGGAAACCCTAAAGGATTTGACTCAGAGCAATGACCTAATCCTGATTTATGTCTTGAAACTTTACTTTGCCTTCTATGGACAAAGAACAGAGTAAAAGCAGGCCCAGCAGGTGGCATAGGAGTTGAGGCACTGGTCCTAGATTTTTAAAAATGTCTTTAAAAATAAAGTTACAGGACCAGCAGTTGGTGTAATGGCTGTGTCACTGGACTCCCTTGTAGTCAGCTGCAGTTTCAGTCCCAGACTCAGTGGCTTAAACTCACACCAGGCATGTGTGCATGCATGCCCAAGATCCTGAGAGGAAAATGGAGAAGGGATTGCGGCATGTCCATCCCCCACCCCCCTGGGGTAGGGGCAGTGATTTCTCGCTTTCTGTCTCTGTCTCTCTCTGACTTTCTGGCAAGCGCACGCACCCTATAGCTAAAAACCTCTTTTTAAAAAAAAAGAATTATTTTTATTTAACTTTATTTATTATTATTATTATCATTATTATTCTCCAGGTTGATCCGAGAGAGACAGAGAGAGAGGAAGTGAGCAAGGAAAGCCACCAGGTCCGAGACTTGAACCCTGGTCGGCCATGTGGGAGTCCAGCGCCTTTAACCACCATGCCACTTGCCGGCTCCTGCTAAAACCTCTTTAAAAATAATAATAATAGTAAAATTTTTTAAAGTTACATGTCATAATAGTGTGCCATTAAAAAAAAAAAAAAAAGGCAGCTCTTTAAGTTTCTGTATGAAACAATCTCCAAGCTTGACGATTTAGTGAAAAAAGCAAGATACAGAACTAGCATGAAGGATGCCATTGATAAAAGAGCAGATGGTTCTCTTTACAGACAGGCTCTAGAAGGATAGACCAAAAACTGGTCACAAGGGTTACCACTGGGAGGAAAAGAAGGGGCTGGGAGCTGGAGTGAAAGAAGACTTACTTTCCTTTCCTTGTCCCTTTTGTATTTAATGTCATATATGCATGTATTGCCTATTCAAAAATAATATTTAGATGTTAAAAAAATAAAAATTCAGATCTTTTCCAAAGGTGCTATTTCCTCTCATGGATTCTGCATCCTAATGTGTCCCGTTTTCAATCACAGTGTATGCTTACCCTCTGCCTTCCCTGACCTTCCCTGCCTCTGGACTCACTAGCGATACCTCCCAGGCCTGCCTGCCCCAGAAAGAGCAGCACTTTAAAATAAGAAAATAACCTCTGCTCTCTGAAGCCTTTTTTTATGTTTTTTTAAGAACAAATTTGCTACAGGGGAAGTTTGCTCACCGGAGAGACAGAAAGCGAGAAATCACCCCTGAGGGGAAAGACCATGCTGCAATCCCTTCTTCTCCATTCTCCTCTTGGGACTTTGGGAACGCACACTCACATGCCTGGTGTAAGTTTCAAGCTGCTGGGTCCGGGTCTTAAACTGCTGTTGACTATGTGGGAGTCCGGCGACATAACTGTTACACCATCTGCTGGCCCCCTCTGAAGATGAAGACTTTTTATTATTTGTTATAGAGTGTGTGCACTTGCTAGAGGAAGACAAAGAGAAAGTGAGGAAGCACCCTCCAGGAGAGATGGCCACACTGCAATCCCTTCTCCATTCTCCACTTGGGACTTTAGACACGCAGGCACATGCATTTGGTGTATTCTTCTAGCTGCCACATCTGAGGCTTGAACCACACAATGAGCTGTGGAAGGTCCAGCTACTTTAACCACCACACCACTAGCGGGCCCCTCTCTGAAACCTTTTTGTGAACTTCCTCCCATTATTTGATACCCATATCTTTTAGGAACCTGCTTTCTACAGAACAATGACATTTCCTTAACATTTTTTTAAGTTATGGAAGGTGAATTATTAACCATCATTAAGCCTGAGAACTTTTCTTCTTCTGTGTCAGTTGAAATGTATGCAATTTTAAGAACATACCAATTTTGATGACATATTGAAAATAATAAATATTCATTTATTTCCCTTTTGTTTTGTGTGTGTGCGCGTTGAGAGATTTTTGCTATAGGGCATGTGTGCTCGCCAAAGACACACAGAGAGACAGAGACAGAAAGCAAGAAATCACCCCCTAGGGGACATGGCCATGCTGCAATCCCTTCTCCTCCATTCTCCTCTCTGGATTTTGGGCACGCACGGCACGCACACACGCCCGGCGTGAGTTTTCAGCTACTGGGTCTGGTCTTGAATCACGAGAGACTACATGGGAACACAGTGACGTAACCATTATACCATCCACTGATCCCATAAAGTAATAAATACTGCTAATACTTAACTATAAAGTACCAATAAGTATTTAAGTGAGGAAATTTTAAAAAGGAAGTACTCACTTTGGCAGCACATACTCTAAAAAAGAAAATAAGAAGGAAAAACCCCAGAGTTTGGCCCGATGCACTTTCTGCAAGCTTTTACTTGAACTGCGCATTTCCTCTCTGCTTTAGGGACAAGCCCTTCGGGAAGAAAGGCGTTTTGTTTCCAACCACACAGACCCAATTTTTTCTCTCATCACGTGCCTGGCCTCAGCCAGTTGGCAGCTCTGTAACGCGATCCCCATGACCAGCCTCCCGGCCCACCCCAGTAACCCCAGGGTGAGCGGCGGTGGCAGTCACAGAAAGCCACCAAAGGGAAGAGGAAGCAGTCTTGACCTGTGATTGGGACCTCAGAGGAGCTTGGAAACAGCCCACCGCAGAGGTGAGTGGGAGCTGCTGGGAAAGGGGGCTGCATGTGAAGGTCAGGATGTGTCCAAGTTCACTTACGGAAGGGCAAAATATACTCTTCTCACCTCTGCCACCACCCAGTCCTCTCCACTTACAGTACTGGGCCCTCTGAACGATGTCCTGGGACTTTTCATCATGCAAAGTTCACTCCAAGTCTAGCGTGTGTCTGCATCCTTTGCCTACGTGTGTACCATCTGTCTCCTCCGTAGCAACTGTTTTCTGGCTAGTGACAGGTGATTCCAACACGCTAGGTTTGGCTGAGAAATCACGAGCAACTCCTAAGTGAGAACTCAAAAGAGGCCAGTCAAACTGTAAGAGTCTATTGGGAAACAACAGACAGCACTTCTAATTGGTTATTAGCCATCTCTTGGAAGGAAGGGAGCTAATTACATGTTTTTAAGTCTCAGGATACATATGTGGATTTACCTGGACAAACAGGTTAAAGCTGTTTGAAGCAACACACTGGGCTTTTCAACAGTGGCTCTAGTTTCAGAATTGATAGTGACCTTATTATATCTTTGGATGGGCTCCTACGAGGGTTAGGAAGAAAGGTGTGTACATAGAGGTGAATAATAGGCCAGTCATTCTCAGGGTACTCTTGCAGGCCCTTTAGGGTTTACAGCAAACAAGATGCCGACTTTGTGAGCTGCTAGAGTTTTGTGTGCAATGCCAACGGAATTTCTCTGTTTGGACTATAATATTCAATTCCATTTGCTAAGACAAAAATATACTGAGCATCAACTTCTGATCTTAGCAAAGTAGTTGGTGCAAAGGAAAGCACAGATATGTTCCATAGCAACTTCTGGACACATTCCCAGGGCAAAAAGCAATGCTTTATATATATTTATTCCTTTTTTCATTCTTCAACAAAGCATTTCAGAAAAATCTAAAAGAATCGGGCTCCAGACAGACAAAACTCAAAAGTAAACTCTCTAAACTCCTCTCATCCCATTCCCCTGTCCTGTGTTCAGACTCGAGAGCATAATGGCGGCTGTAGCCTCACTAAAACCTTTAGATTGGAGATTCTTCAGTAAAAAGCTTGCACAGTCAGACCACTGCTTTCAACAGCACCACACCAGAATGTATCTCATCTAGGTAATCTCACAATCTATATCTTTTTTTAACAATTTTTTTTCTTTTCTCTTCTTTTCTTTTCTTTTTTTTTTTTAGAGGTTTTTGCTATAGGACATGTGCGCTCACCAGAAAGAGAGAGACAGAGAGACAGAGATAGAAAGCAAGAAATCACCCCCAGGGGGGATGGCCACACCACAATCCCTTCTCCTTTCTCCTCTCGGAATCTTAGGCACATATACACACATACCCGGCTTGAGTTTGAGCCAGTGAGTCCAATACTTGAACCGCGGTCGGCTACGTGGGAGTTCAGCGACATAGCCATTATGCTAACTGCTGGTCCCTTTTTTTTTCTTTTTTTTAAAAAGAATTATTCATGAGACCAGCAGATGGTGTAATGGTTACATCGCTGGACTCCCACATAATCAGCACAGTGCAAGTCCCAGACCAAGCATTTACCGGGGGCATGTGTATGTTTGCCCAATATCCCAAGAGGACAATGGAAGAGAAGGGATTGTGGCGTGGCCATCCCCTCCTCCCCGGATGTGTGTGTGTGTGTGCGTGTGTGTGTGATTTATCATTTTCTGTCTCTCTGTCTTACTCTGTTTCTCCAGTGAGCACACACGCCCTATAGCAAAAATCTCTCTCTCTCTAAAAAACAGAGAATTATTCATTTAATTTTATTAATTATTGTCATTATTATTTTTAAAGAATTGTTTATTTAATTTTATTTGTTGTTATTATTTTTTTAAATTTAACCTGAGAGAGACAGAAAGAAAGGGAAAGTAAAAAGCAAGCCACCAGGTCCAGGACATGGCCACATGGGAGTCCAACGCCTTAACCACCATGCCCCATGACGGTCCCCATAATTATTATTTTTAATTCACCAGAGAGAGGCAGAGAAGTGAGAGAAACTGAGAAAGCAAGCCACCAGGTCCACAACTTGAACCACAGTTCCCATGTGAGAGTCAGCACCTTAACCACCACACCACCTGTTGGCCTCTCACAATGTATATAATTTTTTCTGAGAGTTCTTAATTTTTTTTTACTATCGTGGACATGTGCTTGCCAGAGAGACAGACACAAAGAAATAGAAAGCAAGAAATCATCGCCCAGGGGGATGGCCACTTTGCAATCCCTTCTCCTCCATTCTTCCCTTGAGATTTTGGGCATGTATACACATGCCCCCAACGTGAGTTTCAAGCCCCTGTGTCCAGTACTTAAACCACAGTCGTTCACGTAGGTGTCCAACACCTTACCTGCTACACCACCTGCTGGTCCCCGACAAACTGTATATTTTTCTTTTTTTAAAAATAATTCTTTTGGGGCTGGACCAGCAGTTGACATAATAGCTATGTCGCTGGACTCTCATGTAGCTGACCATGGTTCGAGTCCCAGACCCGGTGGCTTAAACTCACGCCGGGCATGTGTGCCTGCGTGCTTAAGATCCCGAGAGGAGAATGGAGGAGAAGGGATTGCAGTGTGGCCATCCCACCTGGGGGGTGATTTCTCGCTTTCTGTCTCTCTGTCTTGCTCTGTCTTTCTGATGAGCACATGCACCCTACAGCAAAAACCTCTCAAAAAAATTATTTTGGGGCCAGCAGGTGGTATGGTGGCTAAGGACTCTGGACTCCCACATGGTTGACCGAGGTTCGAGTCCCAGACCTGGAGACATGCTTTCTCACTTTTCCTCTCTCTCTCTTGATCTGTTTCTTCTGGTCAAATTAAAATAAATAAATAAAGGTAAATAAAATAATTTAATTTTATTAATTTTTAAAAATTTTATTAATTGTCAGTATTTTTATTTTATGTTTTTAAGTTGACCAGAGAAAGACAGACAGAGGAAAGGGAGGAAGCAAGTTGTCAGGTCCATTACTCAAACCATGGTCAGCCACATCAGAGTCCAGCCACCCTAACCACCACACTACCTGCCAACCTCAACAATGTCTATCTTAAGAGAAAACAATTTATCGTTACAAAATATCAGAATCTTCCCTTTAAGAGCATTTCTTTTTTTCTCTCTTCTTTGAATGCATTCTCTCTTATTTAATTTTATTTATTTTTAAAAGAATTTTTAATTTGCCCAGAGAAGGACAGAGTGAGAGAGTGAAAGAAAGTGAGAAAGCAAGCTGCCACATCCAGGATTCGAACCACAGCTAGCATGTGCGAGTCCAGTGCCCTTAACCAGCAGGCCACTGCCAGCCCCTACTTTTAAATTTTTTTTAAAGAATTATTTTATGTAGCTATTTATTATTATTATTTTCCAGCTTGATCAGAGAAAGAGAGAGAGAGAAAGTGAGAAAGAAAGCCATCAGGTCTGGGACTCGAACTGCGGTCGACTATGTGGGAGTCCAGAGACATAACTATTATGCCATCTGCTGGTCCCTCACTTTCCTTCTTTGTCTCTGTCTGATGAGTGCCTACGTCCTCTCACAAAATTGAAGAAAATAATTTTAAATTATTTAAACACACACTGCTGACTAATACAGGCCACTCGATTTGTGTCCCTTTTCATCCCTGCCCCCTGTTCTGTATTCATCAGCATCAATGCAGTCTGTGCTTTTAGTCTCCACTGGTATAATGAGCACAGAATTCAAGTTCTGCTACTGAAGAGCTATCAGATTTGAAGCTAAGTAATTAAATATCTCTACTTCTCTATTTCTTTTAGAAAGATTTTTGCTATAGGGCATGTGCGCTCACCAGACAGACAGAAAGTGTCTCCAGGGGGATGGCCATGCTGCAATCCCTTCTCCTCCATCCTCCTCTCCAGATCTTCGGCATGCACTCACATGTTCCCGGCATGAGTTTTAAACTGCCAGGTCCAGGACTCGAATGGTGGTCGGTCCACTGTGTGGGAGTCCAGTGACGTAACCATTACGCCATCTGCTGGTCCCTCTGCTTCTCTATTTTTTCACATGTGAAATGAGGCATCAGAACAGATGAGACCTAAGTCAACTTCCAGTTCTCAGATAGACTTCCAACTGTAGAGAAAGGGCTGATCTAGCAGCCTAATGGTTCAAGGAGCCAGATCTCACATGGTCAACCGTAGTTTGAATCCTGGCCCTGGCAGCTTGAGAAACATGCTGAATGTGTGTGTGTGTGTGTGTGTGTGTGTGTGTGTGTGTGTGTGTGCTCAAAATCCCAGTAGGATAGAGACATGGAAGAAGGTATGGTGACATGACCATGCCCCATTGGGGGTGTTTTCTCCCTCTCGCTCTCTTTCTTTCTCTCTCTCTAGCAAGCAAGTGCAGTCTCTGGAAATTTTTAAAAAATAATAAAAATAATAACAATTTTTTTTAAATGAGAAAAATAATTAGATAGTCAAGAGAGAGGAAACCCAGCAAAAATGTAATAATTAGGCCAGTTGGTGGTATGTTGGTTAAAGTGCTGGATTGCACATGGCTAACACACCAGGCACATGTATGTGTGTGTGCACAAAATTCCGAGTGGAGAATAAGGAGAAGGGATTTTGACATGATCATTCTTCCTGACAGATGATTTCTCACTCCCTGCCCCACACCCTACAGCAAAGTAACGATTGCAGTACTTTCACATACTAAATAAATATAAATGCTATAATAAATTTTACTTGCCCAGATTTCTAACTGAAACACTTTTCACATACTAAATATTTATAAATGCTATAGTAAATTTTACTTGCCCAGATTTCTAACTGGAACACCATTGTTGACAATGTTAAGGAACCACTTTGGGTAAAGAGCCACCTGCCCACCACATCTGAGGTCTCCCCTAGAGCCTTTCTGGCTGCCCGTATTCAGGTAAAACTGAAGACGTGGGGTAGCAGATAGGTAGGGAGGGAGTGCTCTGGAGAGAAAACCACCAGAAAGCAAGCTGCCTTGGCATAAAATATTCAGCACAGTGATAGGGTTGTACAGCTCGGAG